CCCGATCTTGATGAAACTTGGATTCTGGTGCCTAAAGATGTCAACTGAAATTATGAAACTAATTTCAGAATTTTAGCTAAACTCCTTCACCTTCAAGGAACTAGGTTTCCATTTAATCCAATATTATAAGCTATATATAGGGAACAATTTTAATGGGGAACAGTTTAACCGACAATTTGTGTCAATTGTCAAACAATTTTATATTCTTTTTAAACTGAATTATTTTTAAGAATATTTGAACCAAATATTTCATTTGTATTCTTTGCAAACTTTTCTTGAAATTTATTATTAAGTTTGAAATCAGTTTGATTTTGTTCATCAAATTCGTCGTTTAGTACACCATTTGAATTGAAGTTAATGTTCACAATAACTGTATTCATGTGACTGTTTATCTCATCATTTGTTAGTATTGTTCCCTCCAATTGATGGCCAGTTTTAAACCGATTGATTGCATTCAGATTCACTTCCATTGATTCAAACGAAATATCATTTGATTTTGGACTCAATTTTGGAGATTCTGTTTACAAAATGTATGAAATTAATAAGTATTTATGGGATTTATATTATTTATAGAATATCTAGTATTTTCAAAATATTAATATTTAATTACCATTATTATAAGAAATTGGAGAATTAATCTCTTGTTTACCAGTTAACCAAAACGACTTCATTTCTCCCTTACCCTAAAATATGTGTTAAATTATAAATATTACCCTAAATTTCAAATATTAATATGTTTAATACCTTAATGGAAATAACCCCTCGTTCTTGAATGATATAACCTCCGAGTTTGTCCAGAATCGTCTTACAGGCTTCACTCACATGTATTCTCAATGCTTAACATTTCAAATACAATTATAGAATTGATTTTGATAATTATAAAAGTTATTCATTTTAAAACAACTCACGAATTCCTGTCGATTCCATTCTATTGCAAATAAATTATTATTATTTGCGTTAAAAAAATCACTAGTTATAAAATAATACCTTGATGCTGTGTTGACAGTGTCACCTTCATTTGGCATAATTATTATAAATAGGTATTATTTAATATTCAATAAATATTAAAGCAATGTATTAATTACCAAACAGACAATATCGAGGCATTTTGAGGCCCACGACTCCGGCAACACACGGACCCGAATGGATACCAATCCTAAGTTTGAGTCTTTCGCCGCTTCGGTGTTTGATCT